AGTTGTTGCCTAACTTCAACTTGAAAAGCAGCTTTTCTTCTGCCAACAGACTCCTCGCTTCCCACATCCTCCGCCTTCTCCCTTATGTCAGCCAACCTTCGCACAGACCGCCGGATTCTTTGACTTGATCTGACTTACCTTTATTTCCGTTCGCCTGTCTTCACCTGCTCCGTGTTCACCGCGTTGCCTCTCCTTTCTCTCTTTTGTAAAGGGTAAGGTTCTTCCCATTGCTAGGCCTATATAGGTCTAAAACACTAATCAAGGCGTATTTGCAGAAGGACGTAGCCACGATTCCTAACCTAAAATCATGGGTTATGAGTCAGAGGGTTACGAAATGCGTAAGTCTTATTGGTAAACTCCGTGTGTCTTGTGTTTTGCATAGTGGTGTAACTGGGGGCGTTGAATTAACGTGCGTCAAGGTCAGGGTAGGTAGTAACAGCTTATTTTCACACTGAGGGAATAATGGATTAATTGGGTGAATGAGAAGGAGTAATTGAGGAAGGAAGTGAGATGACGGAGAGAAATAAAAGAGGAGAAGAGAAAGAATATCGAGAGATGATGTTTCCAACAAGCAAGACAGATTAAAAAAAGATAAAACGAAAAATGAAAAGAAAGAAAAAAAAGGTTACATAAATGAAATAAGACAGGGAGAAAAAAAATCAGAAGACAATAATCAGAAAAAAGAACACAAGCAAACTGAACTAGACAACATTAACAACTACAAAAGAAGCAGAACAGTTATACGAACGTATTTATAACTGCCTTTACGTACCTGATTCACATTTCGCCACGCATCTTACTAGTGATAATCGAAGGTAATTTTGCAGAGGCAGAGATTCATGATACCTCCTTAGTTCCTCACCCTATCCCCCTACCCATTCCCACCTCCCTCTCTATTCCCACCTCCCTCCCCCCCTCTGTAATACTCGTGCGGTTCCCCCCTCCTTCCTGCCCCCTCCCGCCCTCCCCCTTCTACCACTGCAGGAGGAACTTTAGTATTTCCGCGCTTCATCTGAAATACGAAAAAGGTGTTGTTATATTTCATCGTTCAAATTCTGGCCATATGCGGGGTTATTGAATAATGAAGTAATGTTAATGGTATTAAGAAATATTGTAGGCGGATAAAAAAATAAAATGTTGAAGATATAAAGATTGAGATTATTCTATTTATACTTTTTTTTTGAAGAATGAAGGAGAGACAGAATGTAAGAATATCGATTTATATTAACGAGTAATAGAAAAATAAGACGTAGAGAGTGACAAATAATCGTAATGAAAGTAAGACTTGTATGAAAATAAAAATAAAAAACAAAAGGCATTCAGAGGAAAAAACGGATCGATAAAACACATAAACAGATTGATAAAAGACAAACCAAGAATATGAATAACTAAATAAATAAAGGGAACAGACAAACCGAAAACATGAATGAAAGAAAGAAAAAGTAAGAACAAACAGACACAGAGAGCGAGACGCGAAACAAAGAAAGCATATTAAGAAGGGTCATCTCTTATTCACGCACCGTGTCCCTGTCCACATAACAGAATTAACCAGCCTCGCCGGATCTGCCTTACGACCACCTCTGCCGTTCGGTTGCTGTTCCTTTGGCGGAGACAGAGATTCTGAGTCGATGGTATAAGTATCGAAGGTAATTTTGCAAAGGCAGAGGTTCGTGATTTCGAGTCGGTGGTATACGAATCGATGGTAATTTTGCAAAGACGGAGGTTCGTGGTTTTGAGTCGATGGCATACGAATCGAAGGTAATTTTGCAGAGGAAGAGATTCGTGATTTCGAGTCATAGATTATATACATTGAAAAGAGATACAGTTCTTTTGCAGAGACAGAGATTCATGATTCTGAGTCAATTGCATAAGAATCGAAGGTAATTTTGCAGGGACAAAGATTCGTGATTTCGAGTAACAGATGTTAAGAATCGAATATAATTATTTTGCAGAGACAGAGATTCGGGATTTTGAGTCGATGATATGAGAATTGAAGATGATTTTGCAATTCTTTTTCAGAGACAGAGATTCATGATTTTGAGTCACAGATGATAAGAATTTAAGAAAAAAAAAATGTAGTTCTTTTGCAGATATTCATGACTGAGTCACAGACGATAAGTGTGATAAGATAATTTTTGGAATTTGATAGGGTGGCGTTATGAGGAGGTGTAGTTGTTTGATATAAAAATAAAGATGATTTTTTGAGGACAAGAGAAACAGAAAGAGAGAGAGAGAGAGAGAGAGAGAGAGAGAGAGAGAGAGAGAGAGAGAGAGAGAGAGAGAGAGAGAGAGAGAGAGAGAGAGAGAGAGGGAGGGAGGGAGAGGGGAGGGAGGGAGAAAAAAGAAAGGCAAATGGATAGAAAGAGAGAGAGAGAGAGAGATAGAGAGAGAATGAGTGTGTGTGTGTGAGTGAGAGAAAGAGGGAGAGAGAGAGAGAGAGAGAAAGAAAGAAACAGGAAGAGAGAAAGGAGAAAGAGAGAAAAAGGTTGGGAGAGATGGAGAAAAAGTACAAAGGGTGTAATTTGCATATATGTATTGATATTCAGAATTACTACTCTTTCTTATTATGCTGTCAAAGCAAGCAGTCATACAGTGACACTGACTTTCAAACACTTCGGCATTCACAGTTATGGATGGATTTGTGCTTTAGTTTTTTTCTCTCTATCTCTCTATGCCTTCTTTTCATCGACATTATCGTCTTCTTTCTTCTTTTTCCCTTCCTTTCCCTTTATCTTCTCTCTCTCTCTCTCTCTCTCTCTCTCTCTCTCTCTCTCTCTCTCTCTCTCTCTCTCTCTCTCTCTCTCTCTCTCTCTCTCTCCTTCCTCCCTTCCTCCCTTCCTCCCTTCCTCCCTTCCTCCCTTCCTCCCTTCCTCCCTTTCTCCCTCTCCCTCTCTTTGTATATATGTATGCAAGCAAAGCAACAACCAAAAAAAAAACACTAATGATTAAGAAAAATAATTCAAAAGCAAAAAATACAAACACATCATAGAGAAAATTAAAGCAAAACATACAAAAAATAACAGCACACACACAATAAAAAGAAAATTAACAAAAAGAATAAACACAAAAATAAGAAGAAGAACAATCAAATGCATTTATATACTTCACAGGTAATCTTATCATTACAGAGTACCTGCACGTATTAGCAAGTCCTTAAGAGAGAGGCAGGTAAAGACAGGTAAACATACGTAAAGGAAGAAGGGTTATGAAGGAAAAGGAAGTAGTAAGTAATGTGGAGAGAGAGAAGGGAGAGGAGATGGAGGGATGGAGGGGTTTAGGGGGAGGGAGGGAGGGGAGGGAGAGAGGGTGGGGGAGGGAGGGAGGGTGGGGGAGGGAGAGTTGGAGGAGGAGGAGGAAGAGAAGGAGAAGAAGGAGAAGGGGGAGGAGGAGGAGATGAAGGTAGAAATGGAGTGGAGGAGGAGAAGGAGAAGGAGGAGGAGGAGGAGGAGGAGCAGATGAAGAAGAAGAAGAAGAAAGAAGAAGGGGGGAGTGGAGGAAGGAGGGGAGAGAGGGAAAAGAAAGAAAGGAAGAGGACGAACATGATGGTAAGGGCGAAGGTGAGGACAAGGGAGAGGTAAAAAGAGAGAGTGAGTGGAGGAGGGAGGAGGGAGTGAGAGAAGGTAGCAGGAAGGGAGGGAGGTGAAGGAAGAAAGGGAGGAAGAAAGAGAAGGAGGGAGGTGGAGAGAGAGAGGGAGAAGTAGTGACATCGTAAAGGAGGAGAAATTAAAACATAGGACAAATATAGAGACGGAAATAGTGATACTATGCAAAAAAAAAAAAAAAAAAAAAAAATAGAAAACAAATATGAAGAACGGAAAGAAGAAGAGAAAAGGAAGTGAAATACTGATAAAAGATTAAGCAATGCAGACTATATCAACCCTTTACAAAGAAACAGACAAAGAGAAAAAGAAAAATATGAAGCGAACCAAACGACGAAAAAGACAAATAACCAAGATAGACAACAGACAAAATAGATAAACACACAGAGACAGAAATAGACAGTCAAGCACGCAAGCAGATGGATCAATTCAAACGAAAATATACACCATCTTCAGTGCATCATCGTCTCGGGTGTATTTCAATACAATAAAAATATAATTCTGCCAGTCTCCCATCTATACCTCGTTGTGCACGATTGCAAACGAAATACCGAAATCAGATATATAAACATTGTAAAGTAGTTCACCCACTGACTCCTGTCAAAATCTTATCAGGGTGGGCACTTTATATTATGATACCTGCGTCTACGTTCCAATCCATGAAAATATTTTTAAAATGGTGTTGACAGGTATAAGTGCATATATCTGTAAACATATAAATATCAAATACATATATAGGTATCTGAATACATAAATGATAAATAAAAGATGGTATAAATGCTATTTTATTCCAGCAGTTACATGCAACCCGGTAGCAATATAATTTCTTTATTAATCAATGGTGCTTAACCAAATGAATATACATATGGTGATCACTTGAACTCGCTTACATCATTATAAAAAAATATCATTAAGCTACTCGGCATTAGGGAACTTGCAAATTAACAATAAAACATTAATAAGTTAGACGAAACAATTACGGTCAGAAACTATCCTAATTACCGCGTAAATGCAGAACAGCTATTATATAAAACAGATGGTAAAGCATAATGAAAAGTTTCCCTACTCTTAAAACGCGTTACAGAATTTTCCAACAAAAAAACATTGCTGATTCAACTATGAAAGACATTTATGTGTATAAATATGGAGAACAATATGAGCGAAGATCAGCAATTAATAGATAAAACGACCCCCCCCCCCCATTTGAAATGCGCTGCAGTTTAAAAAAAAATGCCGATTCAAATATAAAGATTATGTTTATTTGTAAACTTTAGTAAATAATTTTCATCCACGATCGTCATTGCCCGGAGCAAAACAAATGGAAAAAAATAATAATAATATATACCCACAGCGTTCAGCATCACAAGCCACTGGATGAGAGTATCCGGGAATTCGATTTAAATCTTCGCCACAGCTTACTCATCCTAGTACCCACATAGACGTCATAGTGAGAGCAATTTCTTCCCTCACTGGTGTTCCATTCCCACACTTTGCAAACTACCACAGAATACATATAAGAGGAATCAAGTCATTTTTTTTTCCAAAAGTTAATACAGTCCTAGATTCTTTTAAGTGTAAATGGACTGGAGCTTGTTTAGACCTTTCTCTTCCTCATTGCGACATGAGCATTCTTGAATATGAATGCAAACTGAACTCAGGAACTCATGATTGTGATGCAAATTACGTCGTGGATATTAGTTTTAATTGCTAATGCAACCTCCTTTTTGTCTCTTGTGATGGCTTTCGAATCGTGTCTGAGAAGGTGAGGTCGGTATCTCTTCGATCCTAATTTTACAATCATTCCCAAACACGGGGGGAAAATGGCTTCTGGCTAGTCGATTAAAAAAAAAAAAACGCGACAGGCCGTGATACATTGTCTGGTTCTAACGGAAAGTTTCTTTGATCTTTTATTTGACGTCCTCGAACTAGGTAACGAACTTTCTTTCATACTTGTAGTCTACGTCTTATTTTTGTTTTACTCTTTACTGTTTAATTTTCCTGTCTGGTGCTTTGGAAATTTTCTAAAGAGGCTGTCAGCTCTAAGTTGAATGGAAAATCCCAAACCCACGGGTGAGGGAGATTCAAGGCTAGCTTACGTAAGATCAGCTGAGGACAACCGCGTTTGGTGCCTGCAAATGTTGACGTCAGTGGAAATGAATGAGCGGGCACAACAGACGTCCAAGACAGCTTAGCTTATGGACGCCAACATCCCCTTTACAAACAGTTACAGGGGGAAAAAATAATCATTCATCTTTGTTGCTGTCATCGTTATTTGTGCTTAATTAATGAAATATTTCGACAGAAGGACTTTATGGCAAACAAAAACAGACAAATCCAGACAGAGGAACCTTAAAACGCACATCGATGTCAAAAGGAGACAATCATGCAACTTATAACAGGTCGTTTGCTGCATATATATATATAAAAGTCCTTCAGGATCTTCATTGCTTACTTTTTATTCATAGTATTGTTATTATTCTAGAATTTGATTTTCTCTTTCAGAACCTCCCTCCGCTAATCTTGTTCTGCTGCTATCATTCAAGATTTATTTTTTTTTACATTATTCTTAATCTATTGTCAATATGCTATTATCTACAGTACTTTCCTAATGAAATAATTTTGAATTTAGATTTGAATTTACATTAATCACTTTTTTATACCAAATTCTTTCATTGGTCTCCAGGTCTTTAAAAGGGAGATCTACCTTTTAAGTACATTTTGTTAACCAAGCATACACTTATTTTCTCAATTATTCTTATTTTTATTATTATTATCATTATTATTATTATTATTATTACTATCATTATCAACATCATTTTTATCATTATCATTATTATTATTATTATCATTATTACTATCATTATCGTCATTATTATCATTATCATTATTATTATTATTGTTATTATTATTATTATTATTATTATTATTATTATTATCAGTGTTATTATCATTAATATTTTTTTATTATCCTTATTAGTATTAACATTACCATAATCATAATTTTGGGCATCATTATTGATATTACAGTTTTTATAAGGAATATCACGATCTTTATTGTTATTGTTGCTGATGTTATTTTATTTAATTATTTCAATAATATTCATATAATCGTAATTA